CATATATGTAAAACAGGACTGTAACTGATGAACTGGTGAAGAATTGAGTTTCGCGACGCACGCACACAAAAGCACATACACGTAGCAAGGATGTAAATGTGTGTGTGCATGCTCGTCGCGAAAATGTATTCTTTCTGTGCACAACAGCCTGTGCAAATTGTAAAGCCCAAAATTTTCCGTTGGTCTGCCTTGTGAAGTGAGCACATGCATACATACATTTGTGTATGTGTATGCTTGTATGTCTCTGGATTTAGAATTTTGTAAATTTTGTATGATTTGACAATAATGAGTAAAGCTTGAGTATAATATGACATGTGTATTTCATATATTGCAAAGCATTTAATAAAGTTAGTAGTGTTTTACAATAATTTTTTCGGTTGAAAATGTGTATAAAATAATTTTAATTGTATATAATTACGGATATAAACACATTTATAAACATGATTAGCAATAATAATATATAAATGTACTTATGAACATATGTATGTTCATACATAGTATGCACATCTGTGTGAAGTGGTTATGATAGTCCGTAAGACCGACCAAATGCAAATGCTGGGCTTTAAAATTGCTACAAGCAGCAAGAGTAACGCACGCAGGTCACAAATGCTCATACATGTAGCAAGGGACAACAAGTGTGTGTGTGCATGCCCGTCGCGAGATCATATTCTTTATGCGCCTCAACGCATTCATACCCTTCCCATAAATATATATCGAAACACTAACATTTTGTTTGCATGAATGCCGCAAACGATTTTAAGATTTCGGAATACTCTTCACTCAAAAGGAAAGAGCTGGGACCGTCGGGAAGGAATTTCAATTTTTGTGCGCTGCTGAGCTTCATGATTTGAGAGCCCACAGAGAGAGAAAGAGAGAGTTAGAGAGAGAGAGGGAGAGTAAGACAAAAAACGCAAATCGCATACATGACCATTTCGTTTGCGTGCTTAGAGCGCACTGATTTCGTCGTGCTATCTTTCATTACCCGAGCCATCCAATACCAAGCCGAGCGAATACGAAGTTGGCCGGGACTTGCTAGGCAGATATTGCGGCGTGGAAAAACGTTGCTCTACATGTCTAGTCTATGTGTTGTTTGGTCAGTGATCGTTCACACCATTCTAAGTTGAGGGAGGCACTCGCCAATGTTCATCTCCCAGGCATGCATATAAACACATACACACGCGCACATGTAAAGGCACACAGGCATACAAGTGCTTCTACAAGTTATATCCCATAATTGTGAGCAGCGCCTCCCATGCGTACACACAATCAAATGTATATACATACATACATATGTATGTATGTGAGCACTTCACAAGATCGACAAATGCAAATGCTGGGCTTCAAAATTGCTACAGGCAGCAAGAGCTTCGCACACAGGCATACAAATGCTCATAGTACATGTAGCAAGGGACCGTGTGTGTGTGCATGCTCGTCGCGAATTTTCATTATGCGCACCAACGCTTTCATACCCTTCCCACAAATAATGACGAAAACGCATGGCAAACGGTTTGAAAAGTTCGGTATACTCTTCACACAGAAGGGATGGCATGGGTTCTCGCTGCGAAGAAATTTCAATTTTTGTGAGCTGCAGCTTGTGCTCACATGCATACATACATACATACATATTTGAGAGAGCAGAGAGCATCGTGAGAGAGAGAGAGAGCAAGGAAAACATTCAGCGCAGAGGGATCTTTTGTTCAACAGTCGACTATCTCGGTCGAGCGCATGAAGCGAAATGATTGTGCTTTCGTATATTTTCGTAGCCCGAACCTAAAAGTGAAGAGCCGAGCAAATTCGAAATGGTCTGGGAGATAACTCCCGAAAAAAAGTGTGCAAAACGCTTAACACTACTTGTCCGGTCTATGTGTTCTCTGGTTAGTGGTTATGCAAAGCGAACAGCTGATTTAACAGCGTGACGTCATTATTTCAGAAAATGTTGGGCGCGCGTTTGAATTTGTGCGAAAATCAAGCAATTTCGACACTGTTATTTGGTTTAAAACTAGTAGATTAAATAAAATGAGCTGGGCGGCTAATCACATGCTCTATATAGATTAACGAATCGGAAAATAAAAAAGGTTTTGATATTTTTTATATTCTAAGTCGTTTTCTAAGCAGTTATTGATCACGCAATCCTTTGACAACACATACTTTCGCCGTAAAATACTTGTTATTTCCTTTTCGAAGTTTTAGTTTGCAAAAGCAAATGGTATTAATAAGAAATACATTCTACTTCTAAAAAATAATTGCTTAACTTTAATATTAATATTAACATGACTTGCCTGTTCAATATGTTTTTCTAAATAATTTTCTGTGACAAGCAAGCTATCACCATTTAAACTACGGAAAATTAATTCTAAACTCTTAATACAATTCATCATTTCCTGTGATGGTTTGCGAAGCCCTCCTTCACTAACTTGGTCAACCCAGGTAAATGATGTATCTACATCTTCATCATTCTGCTCTGACATCTTTAGGCGGTGGCAAATGTATCCAGCTAATTTTCCAAGGCATCGTATTCCTATTCGAGTAGATCTTCCTCGTCATCTGTAGGCGCTGGCTGCGTTGCACATCTAAAATGTGAAAGTATAAGTCCTGTAAAGAGAAAAGAATTTTATCTCAAATTTTAGTATAAGTATTTTAATATTAATACCTGTCATAGAAGGACTTGCTGACTCTAAGTCCGGTGTGTCGTCTGGCGCCACATTTGCATTGTTGGAGAGCACGCCAAAATTTCGACCCAACAAATATGACCGAAGTCTATATTTAAATTCCTGGCGATCGGGATGGTCGTGCATTCCACCTCTGGCTCTTATAATACCAAAGAAGTTCTCTAATACATCTTGGTTGAGCCGGTATGTCAATAAGAATGTTATTCTATCATTTAAATCGTTGAATAACATTCTTAGTGCATTGTTAGTTTGAAGGATACCTATAATATAAAATCTATTTTATTCTTGTCAATATAAAGAAATACTGCATTGCACAAACCTTTTTGAAATGGCAAAATTTTTGAATTTCTGCCAACTCGCATGTTCAATATAAGGCAGCTCATTTTTTCCAAAATATTATTTTGGGTCTCAAGTGCAAGGCCGTAAGCGTGCATTCGTTCCCTGCTATCTGCTCTTGGCACTCGAACTTTGAGAACATCGAACCAGTCATTCGTCTAGAAAGAAACGAGATTTTTTAAAGATGTTTTTCCACAAATATATTATTCTAACTTATTATTTTAAAAAGTTCATAGCACTCAGCCCAATTATGACCAGTACCCAAGTACCCAAGGCTTGCTGCTCTTTGAATAGCTGCAGCGACTGTATTTGAAAAGAGCTTTGTTGCCATCTTAACCTTTTGCCTTTCTGCTCTAGCAACAGTTAAATTTTTGTGGCTTATTTTATGGGTGATGGACAAGTCACCCGCAGTAATATTTAAAAGCTCCGATATGATAGCTGCATTAACGGATTTCCCATTAATTATAAATCCGGAATCTATAAAATGATTTCTAATCAATTTAATTAGATGCGGCACATCGGCAAAGACGTAAACTCTTCTGCCATCAAAGAAAAACCTAAGTGAAAATGTATTTTAATAAAAATACTTAAAGTGTACAAAATATTTCTTACCATGGCTGCGTATAAGTCACTTGTAGAGACGATAAGAGTGACCGGTTTGTCCCACCCAAGTCACATACCATTGCCACTATGGTGTATTCCATATTTTGAGTGGTTTTTAAAATTTCTTTAATTTTCATATCCGTCATTGGGCAGTCAAATTCATAAAAAATTGGCTGCTTCCAGTCTGCCACTAAACCTAAAAAAATGTTTTAATTAAATTTCATAAAATATATTATTGTTGTCCACTCTTACCTCGCAACATTGCAACTTGCACATAGTTAGAGGGCGGGAATGTAGAATCTGCAGATTTATCGTATGTATAAACACTGCGCACTTTCATTTCATCGAAACTCAAAACGCATAACTTTTGAGTTTCGGACATATGGGTAGTTGTACTTAAAATTCTTACAACTGGCGCCAAAATTCCGGGGCATATATCAATTTTTTGAACCCAATGCTGCAAAGTTCTTATTGCAGGAAGTGGAAAAAATTTTCCTGCGCAGTAGCCTGTATCCTTTTGGACTGGCTGAATAAAATGTTATTGACCTGGCAATGTCGTCAGTATTCCAATTTTGCCTTCGGTCTTTATTTTTCAATTTTGTTATTTGCCCTTCTGTAAATATTATTTTCAGGCTGTTTTCCATATTTTTGGAGTCGTTTTCCACTTTTTCGAACTTTCTTTGTAGTTCACTAAATTAGAACTACTTTTTACGCAACTCTTTATCATGTGCGTAGCCTTTATCACGTAGGGCAGTTTGCAGCTTCTGATTTTCTGATTCCAATGCTCTTATTTGGCTTTCCAAGAGCTTTATGCGTTCCTTCAACTCATTATTAACATTATTATTATTTATATCCTCTAATAACGTTTCTGCTTCCAATAGTCGAACATTGTCTTCTTCAATAATCTCAGGCTCACATATATTTTCTTAATTAGCTAGAATTTCTTTAACTAGTTGCCGCCTCTTACGATCTTCCGAGCGCTGCCAGGGTCGGCTTAAATTGTTGGCACGGCGCCTGGCTTGAGGAGCAGCTTTCTTGAGAAGCCTGCAAAAGTAATTTGTAGTTATACTATTATTAAATTAACTCTTATAGATTTACTTACCAAGACCACATTGAACTTTGCCTATCAAGCATTCTGGTTCAAAATGTGCCTCGCACACTTTCCAATTTGGGCAGTTATTTTGTCTTGGCTACTTTCCACAGAACTCCAGCCATTTCCTCTTCAGCTTAATATCTAAAGGAAACGAAAAAAAAAGAAATATTATTCTTCCCATAATGGTTCTTACAATTTAGCACCGAACACTTAATTTTTGGTTTTTGATTATAATTATTTATTAATTGTAAACAACAAAATCTCTAATTATGCATTAATTTGGCGCGCACTCAATTAAAGCATAATCTGATAATGTGACGTCACAAGAGAGCTGTTAGTTAACATTAAAAGTAACGGGACTGCTCTTTGCGCAACCTACTGTGTCTTTTAACAGTGGGTGTAAGGTACAATAACAATAAATTGCAATATTTTTTTTATTAATTGTAACTTTTTAGATTTGAATAGATTAAAATAGTTAGGTACATAATATACAATATCAATGAACAAGTTCTTACAGTCCTCTCGTAAGTATTTTACACGGATATAATTGTAAGTCCTTATGAATGTTAAAATAATTTTTATGTATACCAGCAAGTTCTACCGAATCGGAAAGAATATTTGGAAAAACAGGAGCAATCGCTTCGGACCGAAGGTCGAATTTAAAGTCAACTATAGTCAACACTTTGTTATTTATGAACAAAAACCAATGGCTTATTAATCAAAAGACTTATTTTTGACTTATTCTGTCACTATCCACCAGGTTAAGTTATCAAAATGAAGTTGTTTTTTTTTTTTTTCTTACACAATAAGTGATTCTTGTTGACATCAAAATGAAGTTATTTTCATTGAAGCACAAGTGATTCTCCTAACTATAGATATCCTGTTAAAGTTATATCTTTTTTGTTTTTTACTTATTTTTCTTTGCACGAAAATCTTGGTTTTCTTTGAAAAGTTATAAAATTTCTTCAAAAACATTATTAATAATTTTGAATTTTATTCGCGGGCCTTAAACAATTTTTTTAAAAATGTTTAAAACCTTAAACTAGTTTTAAACAAACCACTGACCAGAGAACACATAGACTAGACATGTAGTACAAAGTTTTTCAACACCGAAAAATCTGTCTCCTAGGGCCTATCAATTTCGTCTTTGCTCGGCTCTTCACTTTTTAGGTTCGGGCTACGAAAATATGCGAAAGTACAATCATTCCGCTTCATGCGCTCGACCGAGATGGTCAAATGTTGAATAAATAAATCGGAGATATACACGAGTATGTGTTCCAAATTTCAAGTCTCTAGCTTCAATAGCGCCGAAATAAATTGCGTTCATACGGACAGACGGACAGACGGACGGACAGCAAGACGGACATTGCACAAAACCAATATACTCATTTCACTTTCGTGAATGAGTCTAAAAATTACAAATTTAATTTTAAAAAATATATATCTTCTTTTTTATACCTTCTTTATATCATTTAATCATAGCGCAGGAATATTTTTTAAAAGTTCAATAACCCCTAGATCTAATTTAATATTTATTTATTTATCTTAGAGTTAGTTAATTAAAATTAAAACTAACTTAAATTTTTAAAGCGCTGGCTGCATGGGCCTTCGGCTTATCGGATTAAGAATATTTTAACATTTTTTAACATATTTACATATTTTACTTATAATGGGTTTTAAAGGTTTATAGGATGTGGTAGAGGTTTGATTTCTTTAGGTATTTTATTATTTGGGGAATGTTGGTTGATGTTGGGTTTGATAACATTTTTAAGGGGCATACGTTTTTGAAGATTTCTTTTCTTATGTGGGATGTTGCAGTGCAGTTTTTTAGTATGTGTTCTATGTTTAGGTCGGATGTTGAGTTGCAGTTTGGACAGGGTGTTATATCGTCAGGGTTGATGTAGTGTTGTTGGGTGAATCTTGTGTGTCCTAATCTGAGCCTTAGAATTTTTATTTGATCTATGAGTGTTATATCTTTTTGGTTTAAATTTTTTAGGTAGTGTTCTGTGTGTGAAAGGTTGCTGTTTAATTGTTGGTACCATGTATTGCAGTGGTCTATGTTATTTATGAGTTTATGAATTAAGTTATTTTTTAGAAATTTGTTTATATCTGTGGAGTTGAAGTTGGGAGTGTAATGGAGTGGGGAATTAATTGTGGATTTGGCGGTTTGGTCAGCAAGTTCGTTGCCTTTTATGTTGCAGTGGCTCGGGATCCAGAGGAGTTTTATTTTGGTTTTGGTTAGGGTTAGGATTGTTCTTATTAATGTGGGATAAAAGTTGTTGTTGTTTATGTTGCCGATTGATTTGATTGCTGATAAGGAGTCAGAGCATATTATGAAGTTTCCTTTTTTGTTTCTTATCAGTTTTATGGCTTCCAGAATGGCTATTATTTCTGCAGAGAGGATGGAGGAATAATGTGGAAGGATACCTGCTTTTAAAACTTCTGTTTCGGTTGTTATGGCAAATGTAGCTGTCTTATGTTGTAATGAGCCGTCTGTGTAGATGAAATTGTGTCTTTGGTGTTTGTATTTTATGTCTAGAAACATTTTTTGGTATATTTCTGGTGATGTGTTGGGTTTTCTAAGGTCGTGTAGTGAAGTGTTGATGTTAGAGGGGGGAATAGCCATTGGGGTGTGATAGGTTGGTTGTTGAGTAGGGGAAGGTGGGGAATATTATGCTCTTTGCAGGATGTTATGGTTCTTTCTATTGCGGATTGTAATTTCTTTATGTTGTGGTGTTTAATTTGTTTGGTATATTTTTGGATTGGGGAGTTTGCGCTGTGTAAAATTGTTTTGAATGTTTTTGCTGTCATGAGGTCTCTTTTTTGTTCTATTGTGGGTATATTAGCTTCGAAAAGCAGATTGGCTATTGGTGTTGAGGGAAGGGCTCCTAGGGCTGCGCGTATTCCTGCATTAAGTGCTGTTTTTAGTTTGTTAAGAGACGATTTAGGGGCGTGTCCATATATGAATAAAGCGTAGTCAATTTTGGCTACGAGTGTTGCCTTTGCTATGTTAACCAGTGTGTGGATGTTACAGTTAAATTTGGGGCTGGCTAAGCATTTTATTATGTTGAGTTTTTTGTTAAGGGATGGTTGAATGTATTTTATGTGTGAGTCCCATCTGTATTTGTTGTTTATTGTTAGGCCTAGAATTTTGAGGTTATTTACTTCGGGAATTGTTATGTTGTTTGAGGAAATTTTGCATTTGCAGTTTTGTTTCCTACAAATATGTAGGTGTTGGCATTTGTCTAGGGATAGTGATGCTCCTGAGTATGAGCACCATTGTTGGATGTTTGCAAAAAGGGAGTCAAGGTTGCATGTTTGGTTCTTTTGTCTATTGAGGGGAATTATTAGGAAAAAATCGTCTGCATAGGCACTAGATTGGATTTCTTTTTGTAGGCTAATAATGTGGGAAAGTTTGTTGTAAGCAATTAGGAAAAGGATAACTGATATGGGTGATCCTTGGGGGATCCCGTTAAAGACTGGGAGGGGGTGACTGAATGTGTTTTTTATTTTGATTTTGATTTTCCTGTTGGACATAAAGTTTTTGACGAAGTTTATCATTTTGGGGCCCATTTTCCATTCTATTAATTGGTCGACTATGGAGTGCACTCCGACCCTGTCGAAAGCTTTTGAAAAATCAAGAGCAATGACAGAGGAGTGCTTTTTGGTGCGCAGCGACTTTGTTAAAAGATAGTCTGCTATGAGCAGACCATCTGAAACAGACTTGCCGCGTTTGAATCCTGTTTGATTAGGGTGGATCAAATTGTTTTTGGTGACGAACCACCAAAGGCGTTTTGCAATAATTTTTTTTAGAGTTTTTGCGAGACAGCAGTTTAGGGAAATTGGTCTGTAGTTTGTGATTAATGTCTTGTGTGAGTTTGACTTTAGGATGGGGATCACTAGGCTGGTTTTAAAGGATTGTGGTATGAAGTTATTGAATATGTTGTTAAAGAGGTTTTTGATACGGGTTTTGACTGTGTTGGAGCTATTTTTAATCATAGGGTATGATATTCTATTGATGCCGGGTGTGGTTCCTTTAAGTGAGTGTAATGCGGAAAGGAGTTCGATTTGGGATATGTCGGATTCTATGATTTGTGCTGAGGGGTGGGGTATGTAGTTTGTAGATCTGTTTGAGTATTTGTTTGTTATGAAGGTTTGTTTAAAGTTGTCATCTTTGGATTGGTTAGACCAGTGTTGGGCGAATAGTTGGGCTATGGAGATTGGGTCTATTGTGGGTAGGTTGTTGGATGGGTTGGTTATGCAATGGATTTGCTTGACTGGGTTAAGTCCGCAGAAACGGCGGATGTTGGCCCAAATTTTGTCGGAGGGGGTGTTGTGCTGTATTGTGGAGGTGAATTCGTTTGCGGCTTTGATTTTAGATAGTTTAAGTTCCCTGCGAAAGATTGCGTTGGCTCTTTTGTAGTTGATTAAGTTGTCAGTGTTATTGTTGTATTTGAATATTTTCCATGTTTTTTGTTTATTTTCTCTAAGTACGCTAAGTGTTTTGTTCCACCAAGGTGTATTTTTTTGGAAGTGGTTGGGGGAGGTTTGTGGTATATTATGGTGGGCTGATTGGAGAATGATTTTGGTAATGTTTGCAGTTTCTTTGTTTATGTTTGAGCATATTGGCACGATTTCGTCTTTATCGTGGGTATATTGAGTGAAGGATGGCCAATTGGTTTCTTTTATTTTAAAATAGGGGCGAAAGGAGTTGTTTGTTTTTGACTGGGAGAATAGTGAAATAAGGATTGGGAAGTGGTCGCTGCCGTGAAGGTCATCGATAATCTTCCAATTAGCGAAGGGTGTAAGTTTAGGTGAGCATAAGGATAGGTCTGTGTGTGTGAATGTGTTGTGTGTTGAGAAGTGTGTTGGAGATCCGTCATTAAGGATGTGTAGGTTTGCATTCTGAAGGAATTTGTGAAGGTTTTTACCTCTCTTGTTTGTTTGTGGTGAGCCCCAGCTGTTATGCCAACTGTTGAAATCACCTACAATAATCTGGCTATTGTTGGTTGTATCGATGTTGTCGTTTAAAGATTTAGTGGAAAAATTTTTGTTAGGGGAAATATATATTGATGTTATTCGAATTTTTCTTTTTGATTCTATTTCTATGGTAAGTGATTCAAAGTAGCCGGTTTGGTTAATCTGGGTATGGCCAATAGATTGGTGGACTAATATGGCTGTGCCACCGAACCTGTTGGAAGCTGTATTGGTGAAAATTAGGTAGTTAATTGGGATTGGTACAGGTATGTGTGTATTATAATAGTGTGTTTCTTGAAGGCATATTATTTGTGGTGAGTGTTTTTTTATAATAGTTAGGAGTTCGTTGTAGTTTTTAGTGTATCCTTTTATGTTCCATTGTAAAATCTTAAGCATTGCTATAAATAAGTATAAGTTTTCGTGTTTAAGTATCTCAGAGTGTTTAAGTGTTTAAGTTTAAGTTGATTTAGCTACTTTGTTTATATAGATTCACTATCGCTGTTGTTTGTTTGTTGGTTCTTAGTTAAAGTTTTGGGTTTTGTCTTTGTTTTTGTGGATTTGAAATTGGTAGAGAGGGTGTTAGTTTTGGGATCTTTAGAAAATATTTTTAATTTTAGATTGCTGGTCTGTTGTGATGTATATGTTGTGTTTGCCAGATTACAGTCGGTTTCCATGTCCTCTGTTGTAGTCTGTTGATTATTATGTTCTTTTTGGTGTATTGATCGTGT